GAGGGGGAGGGGGGAGGGGGAGGAGAAGGAGGAGGAGGAGGAGGAGGAAAAGGAAGAGGAGAAGAAGGAGGAGGAGGAGGAGAAGGAGGAAAGGAGGAGGAGGAGGAGAGGAGGAGGAGAAGAAGGAGGAGGAGGAGAGGAGGAAGAGAAGAAGAGGAGGAGGAGAGGAGGAGGAGGAGGAGGAGAAGTTCCTCCTTGAGGCCCCCTTCCTATTCTGAAGATCAACTTGCAAAGATGCCACCTACCCTACAGAGCCTCTTCTCAGCTTTAAATCATCCTTTTTTCCCTCCGTTTTATTTTCTCTTCCTAGCAAGAGGCGTAGCCTGCAGCTCACTGCCTTGCCGGGAATGTCTCAGAAAGACACCCCATCCCTCGGGTCCCTGGGAACTGCCTGCCACTTTGCCTATCGCCCGGGAAGAGCCTTCCTGAGCCCGAGTGCAGAACCCCCGAGAAGGGAGAGAAGGGCTACCTGTGCTGTTCCACCGTCTCGTTGTCCGGCAGCTCCGCCCCGCAAACGCTGCACTGCTCCCCGACACTCCGGTGCTCGGTTTTGATGCCCACGGCCAGTTCTCCGAGTTTGCTGAAGAGCTCTCTCTGGATGAAGCCTTGCGGGAGCAGCCCCCCGTAGGAGCCGAAGTCCATGGAGACAGCCAGGGCCGGCTGCACGTGCAGCGTGGGGGCCATGGAGACGGGCAGGCCAAGCATGGACTCGCTCTTGTGGTTGGGCAGCACCGAGTAGAGGCTCATCGGCTTCTCCCCATGGGAGGCCAAGAGCTCCGGCCCGACTGGGGGTCCTTGCACCACCTCGAGGGGCTGCTCCGCGCTGTCGTCCCGGGGATAGTGAAGTTCCCGGGCACTGGTGATGACGCTGCTGCGGGTCGGCGTGCCAGGCCCCTGCTTGCCTTTATCCTCCGCTTTGTCCGCCCCAGAAGCGCCCAGCTCCGCTGACCTGGGGCTCTCGTGGCTGGAGGCCTCCTCCACCTGCATGGCTTCAGTCTTCAGCTCGGGCACGGCCGGGCCCCGGCCATTGGCAGAGTGCAAGTCCTCCAGGGCCTGGCGGGGCAGACCCCCCTGCAAGAGGGACTGTCCGATGCTCATCAAACTGTCCACGGCAGTCTTGGTGGGGCTCATGGCCGCCAGGCCGAAGGAGGTGGAGACGGAGGGGCTGTGCTCCAGCATCGTCCCCATCAGGGCCTGGCCGGCCAGGCTGGAGTAGCCGCTCTCTTCGCTGGAATGCTTGGAGAGCAGGATGTTCTTAATGTATCTGGACTTCCGGTCCTCCTCTTCCTCGGCCCCGCCGTCCGTCATGCTGACTTCGGCCTCATTGTCTTCCGACGCCTGGATGGTCTCCAAGATCTTCAAGCACTGCTCCTCCAGGTACTCGATCTCGAGGATCTCCGCCGCGTAGAGCAGATCATCCAGATCCTCCACTTTGGCCTGCAGGGTGGCGGTGTAGGCGTACTCCAGAATCTGCTGGAAGGTCTTTGGCGAGAGAAAATCCAAGGTGTAATGCTGACTGTTGCGGTGGAAAAGGATCTCGAACATCTTGCTGGTGCACGCCAGGACGGTCCGGTGGGCATGGAATTCTTGGCTGTCCACCAGGATCACCACGTCGCACAGGGTGCCAGCCAGGCGCATCTGGTTGGCTTTCTGGAGAAGGCCAGTCGCGTGGCTGGAGTTCTGGAGCTGAACCGTACCCATCTTAGTCAGATCCATAATGCTCCTCCTGGGCTGCAGGCATTAAGGAGTCTTTCTAGAGCACTGTCTAGAGCTGTCTTTTGGAGGGGTCAACGATCTGGAAGGGGAAGCCAAGAAGGAAGAGAAGTTTTACAGGGGAAGCATCGTCCATCGACATGGAAGCCCAGCAAAGAACCCAATTTGAGGGCAGGGAAGGGCTGCTAGTCCAAGCGGGGCGGGAAAGCGAAGGTGAAGGAACATCAGCCTTGGTGGTCGATGGAGATTCTCGGTCAACCCAGGTCCTGGGTGTCCCAAAGGTGCTTTTCTTCTCAAGAGGCAGCTGGACTTTTTGGTTTTTCTTTGAAGACGTTTCGCTTCTCATCCAAGAAGCTTCTTCAGTGAGTTGGAGAAGCTTCTTGGGTGAGCCGAAGAGCAGAGCGGAAGAAGCTTCTTGGATGAGAAGCGAAACGTCTTCAAAGAAAAACTAGAAAGCCCAGGTCACTTGGTCACGCCCTGCTCTGCCCAAAAGCAGAGAGAACCTTGTTGGGTGGGCACAGGAAGGGCCTCAACGGGAGAAGGACCCAACATCCAACCCCCCTGCCCCCAAAAAAGCTCAACTCCTTCGATCCTCCAGCTTGCCCAAACACAGCTGTGTGGTTTCCCTGGAAACACCGAGGAAGCGGCTTGCCCCTCCCCTTCTTATGGGATGTTTCCCGCCCCCCCCCCCACTTCCCAGGTTAGTTGTTTATCAAAACGCTTAACCCAATGTTCAGGATTTCTTAGTGGTGTCCCATCCATAATAGTTATCTACCGGTTTCTCTTTCCAAATTGAATTGAGACAGTATTTGTAGCATCACTGCACACACACACACACACACACCAACCGTCGGGAGCCTCCTGAGACAGAAATTTTGTGTTGTTTCTCCGCCCCCCCCCCCAAAAAAAAAAGTTGTAAAAGGCTAGAAAAAAAAACGGAAATTGCCCGGAGGGAGCAACTTCGCCCCCCCCCGCCCCCCCCCCAGCCCCCCCAAGCTTTAGAAGCAGCGGCTCCCCCACCCGACAGAGGAGGGGAGCGGGGGGGTGTTTCCAAGGGGGGGGGTGGCCTTTCCAAGCTGCCCCGGGGTCAGCGCGGAGAACTCTTCGAGGGAAAAGCCCCAGTTCTTACCTTGGGGGGGGAGAAAATGGGGGGGGCTCCCGTGCAAACCCCCCCCCCCCTCATCAGCAGCGGCAGAGCAGCTGGATGCCCCCCCCCCCCACAGGTTTGGGGAGCCTGATTGAGGAGGGGCGACGTGGGGGGGAGATCAATCTGGCAATTCCCACCCACCCCCCCTCCGTTGGAAGGGATGAGCCCTTTTCGGGGATCCCCGCAGCCCCCCCTCCTCGACGCCTGAAGCTGGAGCCTTGCCGAGGGACGGTCCGGACGACCCCCC